ACCGAAAATGATGATCTTTCCAGTGCTGAAATGTAGCACTTGATCTTCTTGTGTTTTTGGGGTGTGTGTACGAGGAGAACCATAATACTTCAATGCTGATGTGTGTACAAATCATCCAAAGACAAGTAACATTTGATCTTCTTGTTCTCGGGTATATGAAACTTTGGTTCTTTCGGTATAGTAGGGTGCTTCTCAGATCTGAGGCAAATAAAGAAGGTAATTATAATGCCTTTTTACATTTCCAGAGGCTTTACACTTAGTTTGTTCAATAGGAGAAAGGAAGTATATAAAATGAGAAAAATACAATTGAAGTTACCTTCTGGGGACGAACGGCCGATCGAAATATGGCATCGGCTGAGCTTTTGGGACAAGCTCCTTCCTCAGTCTTCTAATTTCTTCTTCTTCTTCCAACTGCAGTACACAATGGCAATTTTTTCCCCAACCAATCAGGTTAATAACAATGTATTAATTCAATTTCTTTAAAAAATGTGTTGATAATAATAATCTTACCCTCTGCTGTCTCTCTCTTTCCATCTTGTACTGCTCAATCATGTTCATTTTCGTGGACACCTTCATAAAAACAAGCTCCTCATGTTAGTAACATAATAATAACTCACACTAAGCAAGAAAAAAAGTTATATAATCAAGCATAAAAATACCTGGTGATCAAATTCTGACCTCTCGACAGCCCTCACATCACTGTGCAATACAAGATCAATCGGCCTTGTATTTTCTTTCACCGGAGGTTTCACCAAACACTGGGATAAGACAAATCACAATTGTAGTTACTGATGCATTCTATGATTATGCATCTTTATTTCTATACTAAATCAACCATTCAGACGAGATACAACCATTTTTAACTTCAAATTAAATAATTTATAAGCACATCTAAATATTTTACAGAAATATATTACTTGCAAACATAAGCCACCCTCGCTTCATACAAATTTCCAATGTAGTTGAGCAAATGCATGTGTACAAATAATTAAAGGTAATGAATGAATAGAAAATGACCGAAAATAGTCATGTGCATCTTATAATAAGAGAGCGTTAGTATTACAAATTACCTCTGGTTCATCTGTTGTCCAGGGAAGACCTTGGGCTATAGGTATCCGCATCTTCTCCTCTTCCTCCATCTTTTGTCGCAGCTTCTTCGTGAATTCTTCCTCCTTGCATCTTCCTCTCTCCTGTGATAGACAAATAATCACAAGTCTGTTATTTCAAGCGAATTACAAATAAATAACTATAGATTAAACAAAGTTGTATTGATGATATTAGCAATGATACCAGTAAAGTTATTGATTATACTCATTCAAGTAATCAATTATGGCGGCAAATAATTTGATCGTAAGACCAATGTGAGACTTTGTATGTTGCAATGACTTGATTCACTACTTCTTTAGTAACCATAGAGGAAATAAGGCAAACATATCCAGGTACAAAGGATCATGAAAGAGAATCATTAACCACTTTTTACAATCAGCCCACTTTTTGTTAACTGAATCTGCATACAAATCCCATATAAGTGCTAGAATGCTTCTTAGTAAAATATACAACGATTGTTTATTTCACCTACCTTGCACATTTCATTCAACTATTAGACCAAGATAAAGAAGTATATACAATAATTATACATTGTCACAATCAGCCCACTTTTTGTTAACTGAATCTACATACAAACTGTTCAGTAAAATACCACATAAGTACTAGAATGCTTCTTAGTAAAACTATAAAGCGATTGTTTGTTTCACCTACCTTGCATTTCATTCAACTATTAGACCAAGAATTCAAGATAAAGAAGTATATAAGATAAATCATATATGGAAATATGTAGTACACACCACATGCGACATTTATCACTTATCAGACAAACCTCTGTCCTAAGCATGAAAGGCCTCTGAGAGGTAGCTTTCGGCTGCTTGCTAGTCCCACGTCTTCTAGTACGGTTTCCAGTGGATTCATTACTCTACAAATTATCAAACACGGATTAAAATCACTTAAAAGTTGAAAAAAAAAAATAATCTCAATTCAAGGGAAGTATAGTTAAATGTCACTCACGCTTCGTCTCAACTTTCGACCGCCAAGAGAAGTCACGGTTGAAATGCTGCTTCAGTACATAAAAGTTCAATTGACAAACATGTGAGAAGACACCAAACAAAGCATACATTTTATTCACTCATAATTCATGTAATTCAAGCTGTAATCCACACTAACCTCCCCTGAGCACTGTCTAACGAGTAGGAACGTCGCGAATCGAGACCTAAGCTGTCCAACGTCAGGAAATAATCAGAAGGGCAGAACGAAGACGACGAAATTTGAGTCTCTAAATCATTGGAAGGTTTTTGCAATCCATATGATTCAGATTCGGCCGCACCCTTATCCTCCTCCACCTTCTTCTCCTCAGCACCTCCGAATCTATGCACTGTGAGCTTCTCAAATTCTTTCACCAAATTCTTCACTCGACCAGACCCCGAAATTTCTAAAGCCTCTCTAGCTTCCTCCACCAGCCTATCTCTACTCCTTTTCACACCCATTTCACCACTGTTCAACTCAGCCTCATCCACATTGTCCTTCTTCTCCCAATTAACTTCAGACAAAACACCATTACTTCCACCTAATTCCCCTTCAAACACTCGGCTAACCTCCAATTTCGCATCTTTCCTCTCAGGCACAGCATCAAACACCTTCAGCTCATCACAAATCTCACCATCTTTTTTCTTAAAAAAATCTTCCTGTGAGGCACGAAGGCTCTCGTATGCCATGCAAAGACACCTCGATCTCCCGATGACCTTCCCGCACTTCTCACAGGCCGCCGGCGGCGGCGGCGGCGCCGCCTTATCCGGCTGGTCGTTCCTCGGTTTCCTCTTTGCGATCACGAACTTCCTCTCTCGAATCTTCTTCTTTGCTGAAGGTGAGGCTACCTGGCAGAGATTAGGGTTTTTGAAGGCGGATTTCTTCGCGGACTTCACTCCAGGACTGGATAGGTTCGGATTAGCATTCTCAGAATGTCTTAAGGACTCGTTCAGTCTCGATCGGGCTGTTTTTTCTTTTGCTGGAGTAATTGCTCCGGCGATTTTGGGGGTTTGATCCATCAGCAAAGCTGCCGGAAAATTGAATTTGGGAGGCGGAGAAATTAAGAGGAGCGGTTTTGGGTTTTTAGGGTTTGCAGTGATAATTTGCCGGTTTCATTTCATGGGTGAAGAAAAGAGGAACGTTTGAGCTTTT